ATCTGTTATTGTAATGATAAAGACTTTTAAAGACAGGACAAAGTGCTTTTAAAAACTACAAAAAGGAAGTCAGTTAGCACGTTTTTAGCTTTTCTTTATAGTATTTTTACCAAAATGCGTCTTTACTGGTCCATGCGTCTTTACTGGTCATGTTATCCCTATCAGGTACCTCCCTTAACATTTAGAGGCAAAAAACAAACATTTATCCATACACATCAATGTCTTTCAACATACTCACCTTCAGTTAATTATTGTCACAGTACAAGTCTAGATAACGTGTAATTACTACAGAAAATTGGAGAGGAATCTCCATAATCTGCCATTTGCGGGGAGGAAAACACAGCTGTTCTGATGTAAAGAAAGACGTGTTGAGTGTTGCCATCTATGGTTAGGTTTATTTATTTTTATTTTATTTTATTTCATTATTTATTTTTGTTTGAGTAATTTTTAAAAATCAATTTTAACTTCCTAACACTTGAACTTTTTAGGTAGGGACCCCTTTGCACTTGCACCATGTGCGCCAGTCTTGGATGAGCCCCTGAAAACCCGTGGAGCCCGCGTTTGGCACCCAAATGCGGGCCTAGGCAAATGACTCGTTTGCCTATGCGGGTAATCCGGACCCTGTATACAACCCTAACCTGAGCCTCACTGTCTACATAAAACTCTTTACAGCATTTAGTAAACTTACCACTATTTCCATATACTTGTCACTTCTGCCACATTGCTCCCCATCCCTATCATATGCCTTTTCTAATATAATTCCATAATTGCCAAACAGACAAAAACACTTCCCTAACTTTATCTAAATATTGTGCATCATATATGCTTCAATGTAAACACTGATCTACAATCCCCTACCCACTCTTAAACCACCTTGCCTCATCTTGCAATCCTACATTCTATTTACCTTTAATTCCTTCAATAATACCCTAACGTACACTTTTCCTGGTATACTCAGTTAAACTAATTCCTCTAGAATTTTTACAATCTCTTTTTGTCCCCCTTCCCTTTATATAAAGGGACTATACATGCTCTCTGCCAATCCCTAGGTACCTTCCCCTCTTTCATACGTTTATTAACCCTTTGACTGTCGCAACCCCCAATCCTGAGGTGTCTCTAGTGTGTCACAAAACGTTAAAAAAAAAAAATTATTTTTTCTTATGAAATGATAGAGAATCTTTTCCCGATTGTAATGACACCAAAAAAACGAAATTTGATGGAAAACTGACGGAATTATGCTCTAGCGAAGTTAGCGACCTCGGCACTGTTTACAAATTGGCGATTTCGCCCACTTTGAGCCTATTTTGGCTAATTCCCTTGTTCCAGTCGCCCACTTATAGATGTTTCTTTAGTACTCCATTTTTTCTATCGATTGAGTACAAGAAACTGCCCATTTACGTTTCAAACTACCTAATAATGTGGTCAGAAGAAATTTGCAATTTGGCCAAATTCACGAAAACTAAAAAATTGACAATTTCAAATAAGGTCCTGAATGAACAATGCAGACATTCCTGGCTACTAAAATAACATTTCCTATTTGTTCATCAGTATCACGTCCTCCAGGCCCCTCTGATATTACTCTTCTTTCTTAATTTTGGATTTTTTTTTTCAAACAAAAAATAGAAGACTTACTATTATGCAAGACTACTGCAATACTGTAATAATGTATCAATAAACTCACCCATTCATAACTGGCATATTAGAATGGCTTGTTGGACATTTTTGGACAATGGGCATCATTTGTTTACTTTTGACATGGCAATAATCTCAACATTTCCACCCTATTGAGGCTCCATTTCTAGGTTCTTTTTATAGTTAAAATCAATCAAAACACCTCTATTCTATAACATGTTTTCAATTCTATCAAAATGAGACCAAGAAAAGAGAATACAACCATAAATACTATACGAATAAATGACCACAAAGTCGGCATTTTAATTAAAAACAAATGGTCTGAGTTTTTTTTTTCTCATTATGCACTGCGTGCTCCAGGATTTTAGGTGTTTTATATGGTGCACACTGTCCCACAGATCCATTCATCTCACATGTGGGCCTACAGACTTTCTGCTTGATTTGAAGCTTGCTAGGAATTTATGAGTATTTATACGTCAAACCGGTACCTGTAGACGTTTTATATACGGCCGCGCAGTCAAATTGTTTATTTTAAACAAAAATACCAAACAACTCCAACACTATGTGACCCCCTTGCTTTTAAAATCTCTGTCATGATCATGTCAGTCCAGCTGCTTTACCCCTTTCATTCTATGTAATGCCCACGCACCCCCCCCCCCACACTCAATATCTCTTCTTCACTCCTAAAAGATGATATTACCTCCTGTCAGTGCATGAAATTACTTGCCTCCCTTTCTACGTCGACATTTAAAAGTTCTCAAAGTATTCTCGCCTCGACCCAATACCTCCATTCTCCCCATTCTACTAATATCTCCTACTGTTTTGAATGACAAATCATTTGTTCACTAGGCTCTTCTTAACTTGTTTAACTCAATCCAAAAATTTTTTCTTATTTTTCATTAAAATTTCTTGACAGTGCCGCTACCACTCTATCAACTGCTCTCCTTTTGACTCTCCCCACTCTTCTTCCCCCACCTTTCATTTACTCCCCAATATACTCTACTCTTCTTATAACACTTCTGCTTTGTAAAAATCTCTCAAAAGCTACCTTTTTCTCTTTTATCACACCCTTTACTTCATCATTCCACCAGTCACTCCCCTTTCCTCCTGCACCCACCCTCCTATAACCACAAACTTCTGCCCCACATTCTAATACTGCATTTTTAAAACTATTCCAACCCTCTTCAACTCCCCCCCCCCACTACTCATACTTGCACCAGCCCACCTTTCTGCCAATAGTTGCTTATATCACCTGAACTTCCTCCTCCCTTAATTATATACCAAAACTTTTATTTATAACTATCCAGTAAATTATATCTCCATACCTTTACCTTTGATGAGTTTCAAGAGGTTTTCTACTCCCTGAGCTTGGCAGGCTTGTCTTATGCTTGCATGGTCAACCAGACTGTTGCAGATGGCAGCCTGCTGGCCCACATATCCATAGGAAAACCTGTAGTGTTCAGAAAGCTTCCCTAATTTTTTTATTATTCACTCTCCAGCCCCCCTCCCCAATTAAACGTGACCTCACTATCCAAAAATTTAAAAAAAAAAAAAAAATAATAATCTTCTGAAATGGTAGGAATCTTTTTTTTGAAGATAGACACCATAAATATGAATTTTACTAAGCTGATTCCAGATATAACTCTTTGATATACACAATTATTTTATCTATGGGGAAAATGCTAAACCTCTATGAATTATGCATTGTCTGGGTATTTGGGAAGTAATCAAGTTTGTTCCTTAGATCAAAACCCTTCATTGCTTTTGGGGCTTCTTTATCATACCATACAGAACTGGTAGATTATCAGTGAAAGGGTCAGGTATTTTAAAAAATAGCCAAAATGGGTACATGCATTATTACTGGGAAATTCATTATTATTCTGACACTTGTTAGGTAGGTGTAGTGATAGATAACTTTAAAAAAAAAAAATTACAAATAGAGGCTTGGCCTAGGGCCAGTCCATGAGAGTAGGAACAATTCCAAAACTGGTCACAGGTAAAAATCCTCTTTGGAACCTTACACATGATTTGTTATTAACCCAGTACCAATCTTGCCTAAGGAGTTTATGCCTGAATAGTTTTGTTGATATACACCAAGCAGTTTTACAACTTCTGAAACGAATATATGGTACACCTGGCTATTACCTCAGCCTCCACTGAGTATGCAATTCAGAGGAGAGAAAAAAAGAGGGAGAGGGAAGAGGGTTGTCTAAATCTTTCAACAAACTGGCCGTATCCCACTGAAGCAGGGTGGCCCAAAAAAGATTAAGATGTTTATTTTGACATGATACATGGTTGTACAGAGGAATATAATAGTTGTGTACATGCCAAAAGCCCCTTTGTATGCAGAGCATTTCGGGCAAACTTAAAGGTTAACTTAAGTTTAGGAAGGCAATAATAGTTCATTTGGTCACTAGATGAGTTACAGTGAGAAAAACAAGTTTCTCTTTTTAACTTTAATGTGTACAAGAGAAGGGTTACTAGCCCCTTGCTCCCAGCATTTTAGTCAACTCTTACAACAAGCATGGCTTATGGAGGAAGAATTATGTTCCACTTCCCCATGGAGATAAGAGGAAATAAACAAGAACAAGAACTAGAAAGAAAATAAAAGAAAACCCAGAGGGGTGTGTGCATATATGCTTGTACATGTATGTGTAGTGACCTAAGTGTAGGTAGAAGTAGCAAGACGTACCTGAAATCTTGCATGTTTATGAGACAGAAAAAAGGACACCAGCATTCCTACCATCATGTAAAACAATTACAGGCTTTCGATAAGTAAAAAAAAAAAGTCACAGCATCTAAAACCTAACCTAACTCATCTTAACCTGACAAACTGACCTACTGTAAAAAAATTTGTGTGACTAGTACCTGTCACCAGTTGTTCATTCACATGTTCTAAATAGGTGCAGAACCCATGCATACTTTACTAGCAAACAATACATACCAATGTTGGCTCTTTGTTTACAGTCTGTCTATATTTAGTGGATGCTGATTATTATTAGAGTATTTCATGAGGTAGTTCTAAACCCTTAAGGACCATACACCACCTGGGAAGTGGGAAGTAATTAATTAGGTTTGATCCAATGGGGAGGGTGGCTCAAATTCCTTGGATTAAGAGCTTTTCATCAGCATTAAAGCATTTCCCCCACCCCTTCCCTAGAATGGCTATTGATGTTGATTTGAGAGTTCTCTGGAATGATCAGTTGCCCAATTTTGGCTTGATTCCAAGTATTCTTAATCACCGATGTTCACTCCAAAACATAAATACTGTAGTTATGAAATACTTACTGTATTTTTTTTTCACCGCTCATTAAAGTTACATACTGAAGTTGGCAGGATTATTATAATTAGAATTTTTTTCTTTTCAGAATAAGGTGTATGTTTCGACAAAATTATCATCAGATTTAAGAACAGAACTTCAGAATTTATTCTGCAAATCTGTTATAGATCCAGTTATTGAAAAATTAATGGGTAAGAGTTTGGAACAGAGTATGTACTGTACTAGTATGCAGTGAGATAATGAATTTTTCTATAGTTTCCAATAGATTATTATTACACTTGTGGGAAAGTGCCTTGGATCAAGAGCTACTGTAATGAGAGGGAGTTTCATGGGTCTTTAATCTTAATCATATTTACACTGCAGCATTGGATAGTAGTCAGCCATACATTTTCAGGCAGTTTTTTATTTCCATAAACACACACAGTATAGTCTGTTAACACACACTACACAGTCATTCCTATAGATTTGTGGGGGTCACATTGCTAGAGGTTCCATGAATTAAAAAAAAATGCAAATAATGCAAAATTACATATTCCTGACAAATTTTGTTTAGATTTGGGTTTATTTTGTGTTTCAGAGACCATATCTTTGTAATCTATCAGCAGTGCATCATTGAACATAATTGGAATTAAATTTTATGATTAGTTTTCAGTTTGGGCAAAATATTCAAGGGGTGTTCAATGGTACAAACACTGGATAATCAAAACCAGAAAAACCAGTGGATACATTTATGGGGTTTTGTCATTAAAAATGTTGGATAATTGAAGCCCATGAATTTGTAAGGATGTTTGTACTGTGCCTGTTTCTACTTTTGAGCTGCCAGTGTAATTAATAATTTTTCTTATGAGCCATAAAGAGGCTACAGTAATTAGTTTTACAATTCAATTAATTACATTTTTTATTTATTTTGATAGTTGCATTGCAATATAAATATAATTTGATACAGTTGAAAGCTCAGAAGAATGCCACTTACTATGAAGTGCATTTCGGGAAAACTAATCATAGAGCTTACATATTACTACAGTCTAGGCCTAAGAGATAAATCTAGTCATTGTGTATCAGTACAGCTTGAGTAATTTATTTATAAATGGACAATTAGAAATAAATTACATTAAATTTGCTTCAGTTTAATGATCTGTATGTTATGGAGTGCTTGAACTATGGTGATGAAATCAAAGCATGAGAATTGACAAACAGTTAATGAATATAATAGTTACGTGAGATTTAAGAGGTGCTTTTTAACAATATTAGTAAAGATGTTGGCAGATGGGGAACATTTGGCATTTTTATGCAGTTCCATATTTTTTACTTGATTTGCATGGAGTTTATGAACAGGTGAAGTTATACACATGGAATATCAAGGAGATATTAGGTCATTGTATTGTGTCCATGTGGTATGTTGCAGCTTTCCAGATAGAACGTAAGATCTGGGTTAATGTTTATATTGAGTGTCTTGTAGGCATGGCATGCACAGTAGAAAGTGTGAACATTTTATATTTCAAGTAAATTTAATCTTTTGAATAAGAAGGGTGTGTTGCCTGGAACTTTAATGACTGATTATTATTAAAAGCTGATTTCTGCTGAATAACAACAGATTTAACCCTTTCTCAGTCTCCGACATAGATCTGTCATTGATGCCAGTGTCGCTAATGTAGATCTATGTTTTAAGCACAGCTTCCTCAAATATGCTGAGCTGTAAATTTTGGCCTAGACATGAGAGAATGGTCTGTGTGGTGAGCGTGTACAGTATAAAAACGCCTTGCTGCACGCAGTGCACAATGAGAGAAGCAAATCTCAGACCTTGTTTGGCTTAAAATAGTGACTTTGAGGTGTTTTCTAGGGCAGTTTTATGTTTTTTTTTTTTTGACTGTTTCATGGTATTAGTTGAGAGAGATGATTTTGGGCAGTTTCAAACAAAGTAGCTTGAAAAAGGGCTGAGTGGAAGAAATAGCATTAGAATTTTGCGATTTTCCCTAGCTCCTTTCCAGTCTGTTATATGGGTTTTCAGTACAAGAGCACTGTATCAGTATCTGTGGGCCTAAACTATTCAAGACATTGCCAGCAGATATCGGAAATACTGCAGGAACAAGTGTAAGTCTTAGTGGAAACTGGATCGCTACCTCGAATGATTGATCAACCAGGCTGTGAAGGATATGTGGGTCAGCACACCACAGACAGCACAGCATAGTTGACATCAGAGAATCCTGGCTTCAGGAGCAGGAGCTCTCGTGAAACTAGTCACACGTACAAATACATCACAGGTCAGAGGTAGTATCTGATTAAGCACTAATCCCGTAGGGGGTCATATAGCACCTGGGGAATGTGAGGCAAGTTTGTTTCATTATTAAAGAAATATAAAATCTACTTTAAGTATAATGTACCTTATTTCATGATGCACATTTGTCATATATTTCAGTAATGGTAAAACAAACTACAGAAAGGACTCCCTTTTCTATAGCACCTCATGTTTTAGCATCGCTTGTAAAGAGCCTTCACAATCTCAATCCAGAATATGCCCAGAGATACCCACAGGTATGTTTGTGTTGATTTGCACTCAGAATTAAGAATTATTTAAATTCAATCTCTTCATGATTTGGAATTTTGTGAGTTGCAGAAAAAGTGTATGGTACATATAAGGAAAATGTCAGTCATACATTTTAAAGTCTAACCAGTTTTGCAGGATGGTAGCACTCTTGTGATATATGCTAAGCATATTTGCAAGAAATTATCCAATTTAAATAAGAATTTTAGCATATAATATCAGTGCTATAGTATCCAAGCATATTTCTTAAGTGTCATACCTTGCAGGTGTTTGCGGGATACATTCCTGGTGTTCTTCCTGCCATGCGTGAACATGAGTTATCTAGTTATATAAATGAAACTCAAGAGCTACAAGCATCTCTCAGACAGTCTTGGGTCAGTTCCAGTCCTCGAGGAAAAAAGCGCTGTTTGGATGAAGAGATGCATACATAGTATGTATCATACATATTCATATATAATTCCAGATGTCCAAGTGCAATTCTGTTGTATATTATTTAGATTTTTACTTGTCTTCATGGTTACATAAAAAACATGAGATTCTTTTTGTTTATATATCCTACATGATGAAAATATATAAGTGGAGGCAAATGATTATTAGGACTTGACAGGCTGTTGGAGTGTGAGCTAGGTAACATTTTGTGAAGGAATTCGGGGAAACCAGTTAGCCGGGCTTGAGTCCTGGAGGTGGGAGTACAGTGTCTGCACTTCAAAGGAGGGGTGGGAATATTTCAGTTTGAAGGGAAATTGTAGTGTCTATGCATCTCTGGCATATTAGCACAAGCTAATATAAAAACTATACTCTCTTATTTATTAAATATTAGGCAAGTAGAAAAGTTTAAATATTTTTTTAGTGTAATACTCTATATGAAAAAAACTAGGATGCAAGAAGCATAAATGACCCTTATAATATGGAGATAAATGAAAAATTGTTCTAATATATAATTTTAGCCAATGACAAACTTCGATAATGAATACTTTTTGATATACAGATACATTATTATTATAATCAAAAAAAGAAGCGCTAAGCCACAAGGGCTATACAGCGCTGCAGGGCAGGAAGGAAGCGAGGGCATCAGGTGGCAAAAGGGAGGTGGATGAGTAATAGGTTACGGATAACAGCGGAGCAGTGGATGGTGAAAGGGTAAAGGGCAGCATGAGACTGAGCTAGAAAGGGCTGAGGGAAGTGCGTAAGGTATCATCATCAGAGTTTGTGGAGTAAATCAGTCGTCAAGAAGTCAATGAGAGAGTCAGGATTAAAGGAGGGTCCATCAGCAAGAAGGGAAGGGGAAAGAGAGAGTAGTAGAACGAAGATGGCGTTGGAGATAAATTCTGCGTGCTCGTTGATAGAGAGGGCAGTCTAACAGAATGTGTCTAATCGATACTGGAACTTGACACTGCTCACAGAGAGGTACAGGGTGCCTCTCCATGAGATACCCGTGAGTAAGACGAGTGGGCCAATGCGAAGGGCAGGAGAGAGTGGTCTCCCAAACCACGGCACTGATGACAAGAAGACAGCCAGTAACTATGCTCGGTTTAATAGAAAAGAAATTTGTTACCAGGGAGAGTTGGACCAACGTTGTTGCCAAAGGCGCGAAGGTGGGCAGCTATTGTAGCAAAATAGTCCAGAAATGGAACACCTCTATAGGAAATTGGTAGGTCATGTACTGCTGACCGCGCAGCAGTGTCTGCCTGTTCATTGCCCTGTATGTTGACATGACCAGGGACCCAACAAAAAATAATATCTTTATGCTTCGTAGAGATACGGAGTAGCCAAAGTTGGATACGGAGAACTAGGGGGTGAGATGTATCAAATTTTCGTATAGCCTGTAGAGCACTAAGGGAGTCTGAGACTACCACAAATGATGACCCAGGCATAGATGCGATACGAATAAGTGCTGCAAGAATGGCATACATTTCAGCAGTAAAAATGCTAGCCGAAGATAGTAAATGCCCCCGCACGACGCTGTCCGGAAACACTGCTGCGAATCCGACGCCATCTGAAGACTTAGAGCCATCTGTGTACACAGCGTGGCATGAAAAATGGGAGTGGAAGTGATCAAGAAAAAGAGAGTGGGAAGCCGTAGGCGTTAGCTTTCGAGCAAGGAGTGAAAAAAGAACAGCCCGAACAGCTGGAACTTCCGGGGGGGTAGGGAAAAGGAGATCTACAAAACATATAAAAGGTGGTAACAAAGGAAGACAAGATGAATGTAGGCGAAGAAAAAAAGGGACGGAGCAAACAGGGGGGCGAACGAATAAAGAATTCTACTAATATGGGTGACCATTCTATAAAGGGAAAGGGTTGGGAAAAGATCGTGAGAGCGTACATATAGCGAAGGAAAGGGGCATCACGGAATAAAAAGGGGATGGAACATTCGCTTTTGCATAGAGGCCCCAAACGGGGGAAGAGGGGAAAAGCACCAAGGCACAAACGAAACCGGGGATGGATGATTTAAGGCTAGAGAGAGTGCAGGAGAGGCCGGGAAAAAAATTTGGTCACCATACGATTTCGAAAAAAACGAGGGCAAATGTAGGCGAAGCAGACTCGACGATCACTCCCCGGGAAAAAAAATGAGAAAGGGGTTTTTGAAGGTTTACCGGCTTGAAAAGTTCCCTTTCGAGAGGTAATGTGGGTTTCCAGATAACCTACGGTCAAAAGAAAAGGCCTAAAAACCCTACCTGTATCACTTTGGGGATCGGGAGCCATAGAGATAAAAAGGGATGAGGAGATAACAGAGAGTCTAGTGAAGTAATTTGGGAGTTTTGGTACTTGAAAATTTAAACCCAGCGGGGGGCCCCAAGGGGAAACAGGGTCACCGCTGCGGGAGAAACTGCATAAATGACAGTCGCGCCTGCACAAGCAAAAGCGAAGTTCAGCATAGAGGATGACCAAAATTTTGGGTGGAAGAACAGAGGCAAATCATTTATAGCAAGAGAAAAAGTTTTGTGTTTTAAAAACACCCCCTGGGGGACACCTTCAGCTTGGACGAAGTCCGGGGAAAGAACTTTACTGACTCGAACACGGAAATGTCTGTCAGAAAAAAATTTTTAAGGGGAAGGTGGTAATTGCCCGGGGCCTAAGGAATGGGCCGGGGCCAAAAATTATCCCTCCAATTGTGTCAATCCTTCTAAAGGGCAAAAATATGGCAATAACCAGTGATTTTTCGCAAAGGCATTACAAATGCGACCAAGCATAGTAAGGGTCTAGGTAAACACCCTTACGAAAGCCATATTGACTAGAGGAGAGACTTTTGTGTGTCTCAAAAATCCCACATTAAACGTCGATTTACGAGACGTTCCCCCCTTTGAAAATGCACATAAAGCGATGGGAGATGTGGGGGGCATCTGTCCGTAGACCCTTTTTTTGGGGAAAAGGGGGAAAAAAAGGGCAGATTTCCACAGCGGGGAAGAACTCCTTTGTCCCCAAAATAAGTTTGAAGGGGTAAGGGAACCCCGGGGGCTGACCGATGAAATTTGTAACATACGAATATAAAATGTCGTCACCCCCAGCACCATGACGGCAAGGAGAGCGTTGCCCTTAAGTTCTTAAAGTGTAAAAAGGCACTTTATCTGTTTTTCTTGAGAGAAGAAAAGTCCAAGGGTACAACTCTCTGGCAGACTTTGGGGAAAGAAATGGGGGGCAAGATGGAGCCCTCGGGAAATACGGACCAATTGTCCCAAAGTTCATGGCAACGTGAGAGGGTTTGCTACATCACACCACGCCCGTAGAACAGGAGCCGGGTCGGAGAGTATTTACCACCATTTCCTCACTTTTTTCCAGACTGCACTCAAGAAGAAGCAGGGGTGATGGGGAAACAGTCTCGCCAAAAAGGGGTTTAGTTCACGGATGCAGGGGCGAGCGATGGGCCGTTCTGCTTAAAATCAAAAATCTCTCAGGGGGTCATTGTACCGTACCTCCCCCATGCAGAGGCTTCAAAGACTGCACGGCAAAACAGAACCCCCAAGGACGCATTCGAGAATGCCTGCCTGGGGTTTGGGGGGGTATAGAATGAAAGCTGCTGTAAAAAAGACACGAGAAGATGTGAGGACAAAAAATGGGGGATAAGGGGGAACCCTCACAAAAACAGTGGGGTGTGAGTAAAGACCCCAATTTCCCCCGATCAAATTGCCAACGGGGGCTACGGAAAGGTGTGAATAGGAAGGAGATAAGAATGATTGGAAAAATCGCTGTCGGGTAAGTCCGGTAGAAAGACCCGTGAATCTAGTGAGGGGGAGGAAGAGCAGATGATAGATCGTTTGAAAAGAGAGTAGAGTACAGGACAAAATGGGGGGGAGTGCCTGTATTTAAACTGGAGGGGGTGAGGGGCGGAAAAGCCCCAACGGATGCCAGTGAGTCACAAGAGACCCCCCCCCCCGAGGAAATGGTGGGCATTAAAAATTTCCCCAATAACAGAAGTGGTGGGGGTAAGGATGAAACAAAAAAGGGAAAAATTCTGGGATAGAAAATTCCGGAAGGAGAGTATATAAAGAAAATATTGTAAACCACTTATTCAAGTGGTAGGGCTGCAGTGTTGCACGGGTTAAAAATTTGACAGTACGGAAAATCATTGCGTAAAGAAGGGCACTTTCATTAAAGCCCATCTGAGAAAGGTCTGAAGAATAATAAATTATACCTAAAGGGTTTGGGAAAACACCCGAGTGAAATTTTTTGGTTCTTGTAACAAGCACCACGGGAAAACCGGGAAAGCAACATCTGAAGCCCCCCGATTACCCGGGGGCCGCGATATCCACGAAATAGCCCAATTGGGGGAAGAAATCCCCCCGGAATCTGTAGGTAAAGGCACCTACGGATAGAGGGGTTTGAAAAAATCGTGTGGTGGCATTGGAAGCTTCAAGCAGCGAAGAACGGGCGTTGCGAAGAAAGGGGTTGTGAAGATGGAGGAGAGGGGGAGAAAAAAAGGGAATGAATCATGTCCATTGAAGGGTTTTGTCTCTGCAATATATTTTGAAATGGCTTCAATTTTCTGAAATTTAAAGATGTTGGGGGACCATATTTAGATAGAAGGGGGGAGGGGGATAAAGATTGGGACAGTAATGACTGACCAAAGTAGAGGGGGAGGGGAAAAGTGTAAAGGGGCTGGGGTGAAATGGGGGGGGGGACAGAAGAGGGAGAAACCGGGAGGGCAGAAGAGGGAAACTTGGGGGGGGACGGGGGTGGAAGGCATAGTACGAGGAGGAGGGTGAACTCCACACTTTTAATAAGCCAGAGAGAGGGAAAAAAATAGGTACAGAACTGGAAAAAGGTAAAAATGTGGAGGTGGAAGAAGGGAAGGAAGGGAAAAAAGATTTGAGCAAAGTGGGTTTTTTGGGGCTTTGGAAGTAAGGGGGATTGGTATTAGGGGCACGAGGCCTTGTCAAAACTGGGGTTGTAGGAAGGACCCCCAAAAATGTGAGAACAGACTGAGTGTAGTCGGGTGTCAGAGCCAAGGACAGCAAAAGGATTAGATTGGAGGGCTATGGGGGGGGTAACAACAGAGGGGGCTGCAGAAGATGGGACCCCAGAATGGGGGGGTTTGGAAAC